CTTGCACAATTGGTGGCTGACTAAATACTTTTTTTCCCCACTGTATTTCCTTTATTGTTTTATTGACAGATTTACCAGATCTGGATACAGTAGGCTACCTTGATTTGCTTGTGATAAGGCATGGATTGCTACTGTGAGTCCACACCTTTTCTCGACATGCAGAGAGAGGTTATTGCCAACGACAACAACTTGAGAGAGAAACTAGTTTATCATCCAGCAGTATCCAGGCCAAGGAGACTTGATCATTATGACAGTGACTGACAAGAGCTTTATTTTGCTATGTCTTTCTAGCCAAACAAAAGCAACCAAGTTACTTAACATACTGTTATTCTCACCTCAATCAGAAGCAAATCTACAGTCTCACATTAAAATGCCTATAGTTCATGGCAATCCCTATGACTGCTTTTACGGAATACATTTTCTTCCTTTAATTAATTATTCAGTTTAAGTAAGCTAGCAGGTAGCTTAGCGGTTAAGAGCATTGGGCCAGTAACTGAAATGTCGATGGTTTGAACCCCCGAGCTGACTAGGTGAAAAATCTGTTGATGTGCCCTTGAGCAAGGCTCTTAACATTAATTTCTCCTGTAAGTCGCACTGGATAAGAGGGTCCATGAAAATCTAAGTAATCTTCCCTTTGAAATGAATAGAATTTAACTCATTTGGAAAGATAAAAGAGTACAAGCAAGACTGTGTAATGAACCATTTGAATCATAATCTCAGCTCCTCAATCACTTTTAGTGTTTCATCTTCTCCTATTCATTTGTGTGTTTGTCATCTGCCTCCCCCTGTGTTACAGTTTTTTTTCCAAACTGGTAACACTTGTAATGCAGCATGTCTTACATTCAAAACCTTTCATTGTGCATTCATTTTGTTTGTAGACATTTCACCACATAACCATTGATCCAAAATATCAGTTTTAAATGACCAAAACACAACATAATGATATTTTCTCAATTTAATTATTTTAACAACCAGTTAATCCAATAGCAAAAAAACATAAGATACATGGTTCAAAATTGCCCTTTGAATGTAGTATGCTACAGTACTGTAAATGACAGTACATTGCACTGTTTTCACAGACAACACACTTGCATTACCCATTAAAATGGACTGAACATAACATTTCCATAATTTGTATCCCATGTGTAATAGATCCCATCTCTAAGGTGTGATCATTTTACCAGTTTCCATGTAAAATCTAAAGGTTTACCGAACGTTTACAGTTTTTTTTATCGCTTTGGTGCAATTTTCACAAGTATGTGTTACATTTTCACAACTATAGTACAAACTCAAAACAGATCATCAAAAAGGCAGTTGTTTCAAAACTCTTAGTGCATTTCCAATTGACTAAGTACAACACACATAATCATAGTCACTTTTTCACCAAACTTAATCAGTGTTTTGTCTAGAAATACATATAAAGTAATTGCCTTTCACAATGCAATGCTCACATTACTTTTGATATGATTCTCTTCTCTTTTGTTAAAATACATTTTACTATTACTTAATCTGACTGCTCTCAATTGATGATAAATAAATATGCCATTTAGCAGACGCTTTTATCCAAAGCGACTTACAGTCATGCGTGCATACATTTTTGTGTATGGGTGGTCCTGGGGATCGAACCCACTACCTTGGCGTTACAAGCGCCGTGCTCTACCAGCTGAGCTACAGAGGACCACAACTGATCACTTGAATGTTTGGTAAACCTATAGATTTGACATGTAAACTGGTTTGTCTACTACAGATTTTGAGAACTACATAATGAAAATTATGTCTGTAAAGTAGAAACATAAAAGGTATGATATATACTTGAATGTACTACTATGATAATGACTATTATGATTTTACTTTACAGTAAGTTGAAAAAAAGTACTGTAATACCGTAATATATGCCATTACGTAGCAGACACTTTTATCCAAAGTGACAACAGTCCACACATTTTGGTATGTGACCGCAGCGGGAATCAAACCCACAACTCTGGTGTTGCTAGTGCCATGTGCTTATGAACTGAGCCATGTACAGGACCACTACAATACATAAGCACAATACAATACAATACACAATAACAATACAGGTGGAACATGTATGAAACATGACCACAGTAGAAAATAAGACTTGGAAAGAGAGAAGACAAATACGTTGAATTCAGCGTATAGGATAATGTTGATTGCATATAAGGCATACAGACAGTAATGGTAAACACTTCCAGTAAAATTCCAGTATGGAATGACAGTGATTTCAGACACCAATAGAAGAATGATATGTAGGCTACAACAAACAAACCAGTCATTGGTCAACTCTAAAGGGGTAGAACTAGAGCATATGGGCCTATACGCATTTAAAAAATACATTGAAACTGAACCCCTCGAAAATGTCCCTCAGGGAACAAATGCGCAATTTCAACGTCATAATGAAAATCATTCTACAATATTAAAGCAAAATAGATACAAATTATATCATACTATATTTAATTTCATGTCATCCCATATCTTTCAGAGACAACCGTGTCTCATTCCTTGATATTAAAATCATACAGACAGGAAAGGTGCATTGAAAATAACATCAGAATATAATATTTCATCTCAAACTAGAAAAGGTACATTTTTGTGAACATTTGTGTGCTTGTTTCAGCTGACTAAAAGGCTTTTTTTGTTTGGGGCCTACTCTTTAAGGGTATGCACAAATTAAGGAGTGTGGTGTAAAAGGTTTAAGACCAGTAGCCAATCCATTTCTACCTTTATAACCTATGAGCATTTCATGCTAATTTAAATAAGTATAATGAAATAGCAATAGTTTATCAATTATATAAATAGCATCAGAAAGTTGTCAGCACATTTTAAAGTTCAACATTAGCTAGATTTCCATCAATTTGTCGAAAGATTTTCAAGCAAATATTCTAATATGCGCACCAAATAAATAAACACATTTTACCTTTTGTCTGTTTACATCAAACTGGCTTCATGCAAATTAAAAGCTGTGCGTAATGATGTAGTGCACATAAAAAGCATTTTGTCGTTTAACTAATAAAATAAAAAAAGTACAATGTGTTTCCATCCCATCTTTAACTCTGATTATGGATAAGATCATATTTATTTGTCAATTGACAGCCAAGCCCCGATCATCATGTCACCAGCATAAAATTAGGACCTTCGATATTTATTTTAAGGAGCATCAAGCTCATCATCACCATGCTTTTTCACCACCCTGTGAGGTTCATCATAACTAATTTAATCTGTAGACGAATAAACTGTGTGCATGCTTTTCCAAGTCATAGTGGGAGGGCTACACAACATAGCATCACATGACTGCAAGTTTACTGCCACAGGAGGATTATTCTATCAACAAATGTGCATAAAAAAAATTCCACTGCATTTGTTGCATGATCTACACTATATATACAAAAGTATGTGGACACCCCTTGAAATGAGTAGATTTGGCTATTTCAGCCACAACGGTTGCTGACAGGTGTATAAAATTGAGCACACAGCCATGCAATCTCCACAGACAATCATTGGCAGTAGAAAGGCCTTACTGCAGAGCTCAGTGACTTTCAACGTGGCAGTCATAGAATGCCACCTTTCCAACAAGTCAGTTAGTCAAATTTCTGCCCTGCTAGAGCTGCACCGGTCAACTGTAAGTGCTGTTATTGTGAAGTGGAAACGTCTAGGAGCAACAATGGCTCAGCCGCGAAGTGGTAGGCCACACAAGCTCACAGAACGGGACCGCCAAGTGCTGAAGCGCGTAAAAATCGTCTGTCCTCGGTTGCAACACCGAGTTACAAACTGCCTCTGGAAGCAACGTCAGCACAAGAACTGTTAGTCGGGAGCTTCATGAAATGTGTTTCCATGGCCGAGCAGCCACACACAAGCCTAAGATCACCATGCTCAATGCCAAGTGTCTGCTGGAGTGGTTTAAAGCTCGCCGCCATTGGACTCTGGAGCAGTGGAAACGCGTTCTCTGGAGTAATGAGTCACGCTTCACCCTCTGGCAGTCGAATGGACAAATCTGGGTTTGGCGGATGCCAGGAGAACACTACCTGCCCCAATGCATGGTGCCAACTGTAAAGTTTGGTGGAGGAGGAATAATGGTCTGGGGCTCTTTTTCATGGTTCGGGCTAGGCCCTTTAGTTCCAGTGAAGGGAAAACTTAATGCTACAGCATACAATGAACATTCTAGGCGATTCTGTGCTTCCAATTTTGTGTCAATAGTTTAGGGAAGGCCCTTTACTGTTTCAGCATGACAATACCCCCATGCACAAAGCGAGGTCCATACAGAAATGGTTTGTCGAGATCGGTGTGGAAGAACATGACTGGCCTGCACAAGCCCTGACCTCAAACCCATCGAACACCTTTGGGATGATTGGAACGCAGACTGGTCCTCTGTAGCTCAATTGGTAGAGCATGGTGCTTGTAACGCCAGGGTAGTGGGTTCGATCCCCGGGACCACCCATACGTAAAAATGTATGCGCACATGACTGTAAGTCGCTTTGGATAAAAGCGTCTGCTAAATGGCATATTTTATTATATTATAATCGCCCAACATCAGTGCCCAACCTCACTAATGCTCTTGTGGCTGAATGGAAGTACTGTTACAAAATCTAGTGGAAAGCCTTCCCATAAGAGTGGAGGTTGTAAGCAGCAAAGGAGGGACCAACGCCATATTAATGACCATGATTTTGGAAAGAGATGTTCGACGAGTAGGTGTCCACATGCTTTTGGTTTCCATCAGGCCTGTAGTGAGTTTTTTTATTCAACAGATACTTTACTCGCATAAAAATGGTTGGATGGAATCATGGTTAATGTAATATACAGAATAGGCATTTTTATGCAAATGTACCCTAGTATCGCAAGCCATACTAAAAGTATTGCGCTTCATGTAAAGTCGGCCGGGAGAGAATAGTGTAACCCTAACCCAAAAAACCCCACTCCCCACCACCCACGGCTCCCCAGAACCCTAACCCCATCTCCTAGTTCCCCCACCACCGCTGCCAGCCTTTCTAGTGGGTCTGGACAGTGTCCTGCAGGGAGAACAGCCTCCCCCTGGAGGCCAGGGCAGCCTTGCGTGTCATGGTGGTACACCGGGTCAGGATCTCCTGGGCTCTGGGTCGCGGGGGCACCCTGGGGGCAGCGGTGGGCATCTTACAGGATCCAGTCTCAGACCTGGAGCTGGGGCTGGAGGAGAGGCTCTTATCTGGGATGCTGCTGCCACTTTCGCTCTCCCCTGGCTGGGGTGAGGACCTGGGGCTGTTTGGGGGGCTCTGGGGCTCCTCCTCACTGCAGCTGGAAGAAGACGCCCTAACATTCCGGCCTGACGAACTGAAGTCAGAGTCAGAGGACTCGGCACAGCTGATGCTGCTCTTACGGTTTGCTGGATCCGGATTTGACTCCAGGTCTTCTCTCTCTCTTTGGGATGGAGGGACGGCCATGTCGGGACGAGTCTCAGACAGGAGCTCCAGAGAGCAGGTCTTCTGGAGACGGGAGGTCCGGTACCGTTCATCCCTGGGCTGGGTTGACATGTGCTGCTGCAGCCCTGTCTCCTCATACAGGGTGGGTGGGTAACAGTTGCGAGATTGGCTGTCTCTGCTGAATGCCAGATTGAGAGTAGAGCTGTTCATGTGGGTTGCCAGATTGAGAGAGGAGCTGTGCAGCTTCCTCTGCAGGGTGTGGAGGCCAGCACGTGGGTTGTTGTAAGGCTGCAGGTACATGGAGGGAGCGTAGCCCACTCTGCCATTATACCTGGAGGGGAAAAGAGTTGCGTCACTCAGGGTTCAAAGAGTTTGTTTTTTATTATAGGACATCTTCTGGTCATGACCCTCATGTCTTTGCTTAACAGAACGCTGAAGTGGCGCTGTTTGTCACAATCAATCATCATTTGTCAAAGGGAACCACCAACAGGTGTTATGTCATCCCTCCGCTCCTTACTGTTATTAGTTACCAAATACCTCTGCAAGAAAACCACAGGATTCCACTACTTATGTCGTTTAATTTCAGGAATTCACTTTTGGTGGCCATAATCACGTTTGGAGCGACAATGCATTCAACAGTTCCTCCCAGATACCTGCTGTCACACTATCTCAACTAAGACAATGAGAGGTTGTACATTGGTTGCATTGTCTTGTATTACAGACAAGACAATGAAACACAGTGTTGGTTGCTTTGTCTGTGTAACATTCTGAGAGGCAGACAGGCAGACAGATAGTCAGGTTACATGTTGACATACCTGATGAGCCACCATCCGTCGTCTGATTTCCTCAGCACCTCAACCACAGAGCCAATAGGAACAGGCACCTCGTCATGCATCTTAGTGGAGTAACTCCTCACAGCGCAGTAGAGAGTTCCTGATGGACAAACCAGGAAGCAGGTTAAAACAACAGAGCTTCCTTTCTACAACATCATCTACAGCAAGCCTTCAGGGCATTTATTGATAGTGGATCTTGAGAAATCTCAAAACCATGACAGAAAATCTTATAATGCAATCTTGTAATCTGGAATGCAATCTCAGTCTGTCATTGTTGATGATTTATATACACTCCATGACTGATTGGGGGCGCTGTGTTGAAGCCACCGTGCCTGCATCATTGTAGAGAATATTTTGGAAGCTATAGAAATGCATTTATTAATGTCTACATTTATTATATTACAGTCACCTTAATGCATGCTTTTACATTATATTATGTGAGCTAAACATAAATATGTAAAATAAAAAAGATATAAATATAATTTTTTTAAAGTATAATGTTTTTTAGATTACTAATATTACTGTCCCCACTACAACAAAAAAGATATACTTAAATACATGCAATTTTAATTGAAATACTGTAGAATTCCATTCATTCGTATAGAGCCTCATAGTGGAGGAGTCATAATACCCATAAAACCTAGTGGTCAAACAGGTAAATGGTTCCAATCGTTTTCCCACCATTCATTTTTCCCATAGGGGCTGTGTTCCGTGTAGGCTTACCCTGGCATGACATTTTGATAACCGTGTCAATCTCTCTCGGACAAGGTGACTTTAATCAATATATTCTACTATATTTACGCTCAGATTTGAAAATGCTAATTAGCATCAAAGTAGACATCATGCAAAACAACAAATCCCTGCAAGCTCCTGCACGTCATCTCTAGCTGACACCTTTGCTAACAGGTACGTTTTCCATACTGACTAAAATATTATTTCACTAAAATGTTGTGCACAAATGTGTTTATAATATAATATATAATATGCCATTTATCAGACGCTTTTATCCAAAGCGACTTACAGTCATGCGTGCATACATTTTTACGTATGGGTGGTCCCGGGGATCGAACCCACTACCCTGGCGTTACAAGCGCCATGCTCTACCAATTGAGCTACAGAGGACCACAGTGTTTACATCCCTGTTAGTGAGTATTTATCCTTTGCCAAGATAATTCATCCACCTGACAGGTGTTGCATATCAAGAAGCTGACTAAACAGCATGATCATTACACAGGTGCACCTTGTGATGGGGACAATAACAAGCCAATCTAATATGTGCTGTTTTGTTACACAAAACAATGCCACAGATGTCTCAAGTTGAGGGAGCATGCAATTGGCATGCTGATCCACCAGAGCTGTTTGAAAATGTATGCACTCATTACTGTAAGTCGCTCTGGATGAGGGCGTCTGCTAAATGACTAAAATGTAAATGTCAAATGTTGCCAGAGAATGTAATGGTAATTTCTCTACCATAGTCATTTTAGAGAATTTGGCAGTACGTCCAACCAGCCTCACAACCGCAGACCATTTGTGATGCATTGTGTGGGCGAGCGGTTTGCTGATGTCGATGTTGTGAACAGAGTGCCCCATGGTGGCGGTGGGGTTATGGTATAGGCAGGCATAAACTACGGACAACAAACACAATTGCATTTTAGCGATTGGCAATTTGAATGCACAAAAATACCATTGATGAGATCCTGAGGCCCATTGTGCGGCCAATTTTTTTCTTAAGGTCCTGTATCTGTGACCAATAGATGCATATCTGTATTCCCAGTCATGTGAAATCTATAGATTTGTGCCTAATGAATTTATTTCAATTGACTGATTTCCTCATATGAACTGTAACTTAGTAAAAACATATTTGAAATTATTGCATGTTGCGTTTACATTTTTGTTCAGTATACAGTACATTTAGTTAACTTTCGATAGTTAATCCAGAGATTCTTACCTTTGCCTCGATTCGGCAGTCTCATCCAGATCATAATGGCATTTGTAGTTCTGTATGATAGCCACATTAGCAGCTAATTAGCATTTCATTTTTGGGGGGTAAATACAGGCGAATATATTGATAAAAGGCACCTCGTCCTAGAGATATTTACACGGTTATCAAAATGTCATGCCGGGGTAAGCCTACACGAAACACAGCCCTTATTTTAAGTGTTTCTAAAATCCCCTATGGGAAGAATTAATGGTGGAAAAACGATTGGAACCATTTCCCTATTTGAACACTAGGTTTTATGGGTATTATGACTCATACTGTTGTATTCTGTGGAGGACTGCTCTTACTGGGGAGTGCCAATATGGCCGTCCGGTGGCTTCAAAACCTCTCAATGGCCAATACATAGCATCTGCAATCCAGGGTTTATATACATCATTGGTCATTCTCTACTATGTTGGGATGAGGGTTATTTATCTAGTTTAGGACTTCCCCCTAGTGTTTGGCTGGCTGTGGAATTTTCTAACCACAAAACTGAATGTTTGGAATGGTTTATCCATGCACTAACTGCAATCCATAGTAGGCTTAGTATATTAAACAAACTTTCACAACATTTACTATGATTAAGTTTGTACTGTGGACAGGATATGCATAAATATACAGTAAAAAGTATCTTACCACCATCCAATCCATCTTCATCCTCCTCTGCCTCACACATCTCCAGGTAGGGAGCAGGGAACCAGGCCAACTGTTTATCCTCGTTCTCCACCAGCCACCAGCCTGAATGAACACACACAGACCGAGACAGAGGAAGTGTAAGACGAGGATGCATGTATCTATTATCCTATAAATGTATCTTAATTAGACTAGTCTTGATTTCCATGCTTCTCCACACAACGCTTGAAAGTGGAGCCTATCCCAGGTTAACAGTGGAGGGAGAAATTAAATGTGGGCTAACCTATGTTAAAATTGTAATCTAGATCAAAGAGGACTATAACCTGCTGGGTCTTTGATGAGCACATCCAGCCTCTCATCCAAGGCCACTTTAAAGGGCCTGTTCTTAGTATCCTTGGTGTTGTAGGGCCCCACACAGCGGTAAGACTGGCTCACAAAGGGGTGTGTCACATTGCCCAGGCTCAGACGCTGCCCGCTCATGTCCCCCACCCCATCCTCCGATGGCAGGATCATGATGCTGTGGAGAGGAGAGGAGACAAACAGACATCGTTAACGTTTTACCTGCTGGCAGAGATGGGCAGTATTTCTGTTACATGTATTTGAAATATGTATTTCAATTACTTTTGAGTATTTTCTAATTTGTATTACACTGGGCTGAACTACACTCCAATGTATTTTGTAACAAGATACTTTAGAGAGCTGTAATTTGTATTTTCAAAATGTAACCATTACTGAGAATGTTGTTGCTGTTCAGCAGGCAACTTGCAAATGTATTTCTGTATTTTAAAATACATGTATTTTGATTAAATACATTTCAAAATAAAATTTATTTTTATACATTGATCTTTATGGTATTTTGTAGTTGTATTTTGTAATTTTTGCCCATCCCTGTCTGCTGGGCGTTTCTTTAGGCAGAGGAACAGAGGCAACCTTGCAAGTTCCAAGTTGCAAGTTTGAAAGTATTTTCATGAGAAGGCCTGAGTGCTAGGCGCATAAAATATTGTTGTCATTTAGTAAATAGAGTAGACGCTCTCATTCAGTACGATTTAATAATAAGTGTAGTGAAATAAGAAGGCTGAAACAATCAAAAATGACTTTAAAAAAAAAAAAGGCTGAAATGCCCACATAAAAGGAGGGATGTTTGTAAGTGTTTACCTGTTTTTGGTGAAGTCTGCCTGCAGGTCGTGGTCTTTGGGCATGAAGAACTGGGTGACCTCTGAACTGCGGCTCACCGCGGGGTCACACCTGAGGAGCTCGCTGCAGTAGTTTTCCAGTAAATTCATCCGACGCATCGACCAACTAGGACCCTTCTCCTGGATCTTTCTCCTCATAGTTATGGCTGAGGTAGACAGAAGAGGAAAATGAAAAAGGTCCGCTCCGCACTCAGTATTTGCAGTGAAAGAAAGGAAAATGTATTCCATATTTAGTGAAGAGAAAGAATGGAAAATGTTTTCACTTTTTCATTAAGGTAGGAAGAAGAACAACATGAACCTGATGAGGAGGTGAGATAGGACAGTGATGAAGGAAAGTTGAAATAGCTTGGGGGTTGATTGTGAGGCAAATATCAGACTTTTCTGAGGTTGTTGACTTACCTCTGAATTTGGGAATCACTCTGTCTCTCTTGCGGAAAGGATTCTCTAGGGGAAACCTCTTCTTCAATTGCCTCTGTTGAAATAAGAGGAGGGATAGTAGTTTTGAATTACAAATTGTCAACACATCCTCTGATAAAGATGTATCAATAACTTTTTTTTTTTCATTATTGATGTACAGCTTAAGTTTTAAACTTACGTGAAACTCCTTAAAATCCAGGAATGATCTGTAGACAATGACTTCACTCTCATCAGACCACACTATGGAGGTCATAAACATCTGTAGAATTTTTTAAAATTACATTAATTTATAAGAATGTAAAAAGGAAACATTTATAACTTTATATTCACAAAAATGGAATAACACACACAAACACACACACATTACACAATTCATTTCTATAGTGGTTTACCTTGATTTTTGATGCCTCTTTATGCATCACCCCAATAATCCGGGCACTGATGGCAAAGCGCATCTGGTCTCCCATTTCTGAGATTATTCACCTAATTTTTTGCGTTGGTAATGTCCTCCTCTCCAGCCTCTTGTTTTGCGCTCTATCGGCTCGGTGGGTACAATTATAGTTTGGGAGAAGAGGCGGAGTCGGTAAGCACGCCAACTGCCCGCCCGAGCGATATGGGTTGCGCTTAGTTCTTTGATTGTGCACGTGAATAAATATTTCAAACACGTGGCATATGCATCAACATCATCGTCACGGTGGCGCTTTGTACCGGGCTGTGGGCTGTTGTGGGCTGTGGGCTGTGGGCTGTGGGCTGTGGGCTGTGTGTGGGCTGTGGGCTGTGGGCTGTGGGCTAAAGGAATACATTTTTACATGTCCCGTCTAGAAGTGAAGTGGACGCTTTCGATTGATATTTTTTTTATATTGGTCAATTTTATCCACCCAGTCCACCACCCACAGCAATCAATTACACAAGAAACGGTGTATAGTACAGTATTCAGCATGAACCAAAAAATCAATTGTGGCATTGAATAACTTTTGCTGTGACTAGGATGGGATGATGAAACCCCAGATTTTTGCTGCTATTACTTGATGGGGCTCCCACACACATATACACACATGAATGTGAATGTACACATACACAAACACACACACACACACACAGTTGTTATTGTCCAATGCAAATTTGTTTTAAATGACTAAACTGGCTTATCAGAGGTAAATTATTTACTAGTACCAACATTCTCCATTTGCACCTTTCTAACTGGGTCAAAATGTTTTGTTTCCCCTGGCCCTGGCTCTGTTTCTCTGATGAAAATCCCCCTGCTGCATGTGCAATCACTCCACACTTGTCATCCGGTTCTAATTTCCCCTGTCATGACTAGATGGGGGAGACAGTCCCAGGTGTCTCTTCAAAGTGAGGGTGGTGATAGGGGGTTGGATCTGAGGGGTGCAGGCTTTGGGAGCGCGTCTGAAGGGGTGCCAGGACCCCCCTCCCAGACTCTGTCAGTAAAGGTCAGCTCTGTCAGGACCTGAGTGGACGTCAACAAACACCTGGAGAAGAACCACATGTGCCTCGCTGGGCTGGACACGGGACACAGGACACGAGGGGGATGACTGGCTGTTTCTGGGAGGATTTGCTCACTGTCTTATAGGACAACGTAACGTGTGTGCACATGCATGCACATACACTGTAAAACCAAGTGTTTAGGATCTGAACACATAACAAAAAAAAAATTGGGGGCGACCCGACCAAATTCACATAGAAATGTGAGTTATAGATCTATCATTCTACTTGAACGCAAGTCTAAGAAGCGGTATATCTGTTCTATGTGCGTTATTTCTATACTTCCCGTTCTTAAATGTTGTTTTTGCATGTTTTACTTTCAGTTTTTTACACCAGCTTCAAGCAGCTGAAACAACAATATTTTTGGTTATGGAAAATAGATTTCGCAGAGGTTTAAATGGTACAATGATTATCTACACTCTACTAGCTTATTTTGTTGCGTAAACTGAAATTAGGCAAATTATTAGAGTTTCAGCAACTAGGAAAAGGGCGGAGCAATTTCTGCATAGTGCAACTTTAAATGTGTCAAGGCATTTAGAATTTCAATGGAAACATGTGTTTTAATTAAAAGTAAACCGTCTATGACCACATATTATACATATAGTTATCCTCGACATTGTGGTCTGAAAATCCTGGCTCATGGGCCAAATCAGACCTGCAAATCGCAATACACTGGTTTGTGAAATGATTAGTAATTCCTATTGGAATCCAGGCAGAGGGAGAATATCCAAGAATTTGAAAATTGTATCACTCACAACTAAGGCTGTGGCAGTCATGAAATTTTGTCAGCCGGTGATTGTCAAGCAAATAACTGGTGATTGTCAAGCAAATAACTGCCTGTCTCACGGTAATTGACCGTTAATTAACATAAACACATTTGGCATCCCCTGGCTTCCACACATAGCCTACAAGCCACTGATGCAGACCTTTGGAACATCTACATTAAAAAAGTATAGTAAATCAATGTAATATAGCCTACACCATCACAATTACATTTACATTTACATTTACGTCATTTAGCAGACGCTCTTATCCAGAGCGACTTACAAATAGGTGCATTCACCTTATAGCCAGTGGGATCACCACTTTACAATGTTTTGTTTTTTGTTTTTTTTGGGGGGGTTGGGGTTTGGGTTGGGGTAAGGGGGGGGTAGAAGGATTACTTTATCCTATCCCAGGTATTCCTTAAAGAGGTGGGGTTTCAAATGTCTCCGGAAGGTGGTGAGTGACTCCGCTGTCCTGGCGTCGTGAGGGAGCTTGTTCCACCATTGGGGTGCCAGAGCAGCGAACAGTTTTGACTGGGCTGAGCGGGAACTATGCTTCCGCAGAGGTAGGGGAGCCAGCAGGCCAGAGATGGATGAACGCAATGCCCTCGTTTGGGTGTAGGGACTGATCAGAGCCTGAAGGTACGGAGGTGCCGTTCCCCTCACAGCTCCGTAGGCAAGCACCATGGTCTTGTAGCAGATGCGAGCTTCAACTGGAAGCCAGTGGAGTGTGCGGAGGAGCGGGGTGACGTGAGAGAACTTGGGAAGGTTGAACACCAGACGGGCTGCGGCATTCTGGATGAGTTGTAGGGGTTTAATGGCACAGGCAGGGAGCCCAGCCAACAGCGAGTTGCAGTAATCCAGACGGGAGATGACAAGTGCCTGGATTAGGACCTGTGCCGCTTCCTGTGTAAGGCAGGGTCGTACTCTCCGAATGTTGTAGAGCATGAACCTACAGGATCGGGTCACCGCCTTGATGTTAGCGGAGAACGACAGGGTGTTGTCCAGGGTCACGCCAAGGCTCTTCGCACTCTGGGAGGAGGACACAACGGAGTTGTCAACCGTGATGGCGAGATCATGGAACAGGCAGTCCTTCCCCGGGAGGAAGAGCAGCTCCGTCTTGCCAAGGTTCAGCTTGAGGTGGTGATCCGTCATCCATACTGATATGTCTGCCAGACATGCAGAGATGCGATTCGCCACCTGGTTATCAGAAGGGGGAAAGGAGAAGATTAGTTGTGTGTCGTCAGCGTAGCAATGATAGGAGAGGCCATGTGAGGATATGACAGAGCCAAGTGACTTGGTGTATAGCGAGAATAGGAGAGGGCCTAGAACTGAGCCCTGGGGGACACCAGTGGTGAGAGCACGTGGTGCGGAGACAGCTTCTCGCCACGCCACTTGGTAGGAGCGACCGGTCAGGTAGGACGCAATCCAAGAGTGAGCCGCGCCGGAGATGCCCAGCTCGGAGAGGGTGGAGAGGAGGATCTGATGGTTCACAGTATCAAAGGCAGCAGACAGGTCTAGAAGGACAAGAGCAGAGGAGAGAGAGTTAGCTTTAGCAGTGCGGAGAGCCTCCGTGACACAGAGAAGAGCAGTCTCAGTTGAATGACCAGTCTTGAAACCTGACTGGTTTGGATCAAGAAGGTCATTCTGAGAGAGATAGCAAGAGAGTTGGATAAAGACGGCACGCTCAATAGTTTTGGAGAGAAAATAAAGAAGGGATACTGGTCTGTAGTTGTTGACATCAGAGGGATCGAGTGTTGGTTTTTTGAGAAGGGGTGCAACTCTCGCTCTCTTGAAGACGGAAGGGACATAGCCAGCGGTCAAGGATGAGTTGATCAGCGAGGTGAGGTAAGGGAGAAGGTCACCGGAGATGGTCTGGAGAAGGGAGGAGGGGATAGGGTCAAGCGGGCAGGTTGTTGGGCGGCCTGCCGTCACAAGTCGCAAGATTTTATCTGGAGAGAGAGGGGAGAAAGAAGTCAAAGCATAGGGTAGGGCAGTGTGAGCAGGACCAGCAGTGTCATTTGACTTAACAAACGAGGATCGGATGTCGTCAACCTTCTTTTCAAAATGGTTGACGAAGTCATCCACAGAGAGGGAGGGGGGGGGGGGGGGGGGGATTCAGCAGGGAGGAGAATGTGGCAAAGAGCTTCCTAGGGTTAGAGGCAGATGCTTGGAATTTAGAGTGGTAGAAAGTGGCCTTAGCATCAGAAACAGATGAAGAAAATGTAGAGAGGAGGGAGTGAAAAGATGCCAGGTCCGCAGGGAGTCTAGTTTTCTTCCATTTCCGCTCACAATAAATCGATTATTTATTTTAAACAGGTTTAAAGAAACATGATATGAAGAAAATGTAGTCTATTTCAGAAGAACAGAATAGCATACTTTGAGTTGTCCATATGTTAGGCCCTGATCAGGCTATGCCATATGGCTGTGCGCTACACTAGTTAATTTAGCAGACAAGATTTGCTTAGAATTCCGTGGCATTATTTTATAGTATTTTATAGTATGAAGAATACAATTGAACATAGCTGAATAAAATAGAAAGGATATTTTCTCCAAAAGATTTGAAGGAGTGCGCACATGTGTGTTGAGCGGTTAACAAAATCAAATCAAAATCAAATGTTATTTGTCACATGCGCCAAATACCACAGATGTAGACCTTACCAGGGACGGCTTGTTCAATAGGGCGATATGGGCGACGCACTGCCAAACGGGAAAAGGAAGGGATTTTTTTTCTAATCAATTATTTAAAAAAAAATTAAATAAAAAAAAAAATTTTTTTTAATAAATTTATAAAAATTATATCACGGCAACAGCAGTTATCAGTGTTCACGTCTGATCTGCCAGCCACTAAATGTCAAATCAGGCTAAAGTCGTGCTTCAAATGGCCCCGCCCGTTTTTTGGGCGATTTCAGTCAGGTTGAAAATCGCCCAGAAGTCTGTCATAGACTCCCATGTAAAATCTATTTTTGTCACATTTCAAAGCTTTCAATACATTCTCTATGGGTGTCTGTGGGCTTGCACTTACGCGCTTTCGTCATACATAACGTAACCACGAATGAACGTAACTAAGAAAAGACCAGGTAGCAGCCTCAATCAATTCACTACTACTATCAAAATGGCTAGGCTTCAGTCCAACTCGATTGTGTCTTTGAAAGAAGTTCCTTTTTGTCGGCGAACAAATGAAGATAAATTGGCAACGA